CACACACAAAACAATAACAACTTGCCCGCGGTAGGCCCGAATGCCTGGCAAATAGACAAGCTCGTTGAACAGAAAACACAACAGACCAAGAAACAGTAAAGTCGCAACAATAATCAAGGGTACCCTCAGGGAAGCGCAGAAATGTTCCTGTAGAGAAAAATATGAATACACCCGGGGAGGAAAAGTATCTCTCAGCGTTGGCTGAGGTAAATAAGCTTACCCACACGGCGTCGCACGTGGGGGCGATGGCGAAGGAGCGAATTCGTCAATCCATCCTGTCATTGGTATGGTTCCGTGTCGACCCTGTCCCAATTTTGAGGCCAATATTGGGGTGATATTTATACTCGAGTTTTAACATTGCATCACCGGAGTGTACGTGCGGGTGGGGATGACTATAGACAATAGTATTGCTCAAGTTAATGCCGCAAAGTCCGGTGATTTTACACCTGCATGGGTGGGGGGTAGTGGCTCCTTTTGTTTTGGGCTTAAGCCATCAGAAGACTGGGACCCCGGTTTCACGCTCCTCCGGGCACCCAGATAACACCAGATATCGATCTGGTGATGGTCGCCACACTTGCCCAGTGCTTAGCACCTCACCAGTGCTGGCACCTCACCCAGTGCTGGGTCTAGGGCTTCCAGGCATACAGCTGCAGGGTGCACTTGGTGACTCAGACTTTGTCATTAACTGCATTCTCTTTACAGAGGGGTTCAAAAAACATGTAGATGTGGCACCTGGGGACATGGTTTAATGGTCATGGTAGTGTTCGGTGATGTTTGGACTTGATGATCTTGGTGGTCTTTTCTAACCTTAATGATTCTGTGATTCTCTCTTTGTTTTAATTTGCCATGTCTTGGATAAGAAGGTTTGTAAGACCAGTAGAAGGTAACAAGTAGAGTTTTGGAGAAATATTTTTAACCTCCTGCATGTTGAAGCATGTTGTTTTGGGACATTTCCCTGGCTGCAGGGTAAAACGGGGGTCCATAAATAAGGGCTTGGATACAGAAACCACTCTATGGGGAGATTTTGAGTGGCCCCATGTTCAAGCCTGGGAGCTCTGGCTTCTGCTCCACACATGGCATGAGCTGAGGTCTCTCCTGTTGCATGCTCCATGTCATTGGTGCCACCTTGTTACTTAGGGAGTTATCTTCTCCAGCCAAAGTTTCCATAAAATGTAGAGTTTAGCTGTGAGAGGAGTTCATGGAAGGCAGGGAAGAGAAATGGTGTGTTGTGGAGAAAAGAATGGAGTAGAACAGGGTGTGAGAGGAGAAAAGTGGAAGGAAAAGTCATGGGGAATTAACAAACCAAAGTTCAGTGCAAGAACTTATGGAAGGGGAAGCTAATACTGAAAGAAAACTGGGTTTGGTTGTCCTGTCTCTTAGGCTTCACTTGTTCAGTGTGTTTCCTGCCCATCAGCAGTACACGTGTGTCCAGCTCTCCTGGCCAGGGCGTGGAGGATAAGGGACATGAGCTGTTGAGTCCACTTGGCATTCCTTGGGTTCTTTCTGACAGATGTCCTTGAACCCCTTATCTTTGGGCATGCTCTTTACACCCTTGGGGAGCAGAGACCATCTGGGATCTTTTGCCACAAGATCTTGTCTCATCCCTCCTAACTCATCAGCAAAATTCATGACTCTGACTATTCTCCTTATTCGGGCATTTTATGGCTCCAATTCTGTTCTTTATCCTGCTACCTTATCTTCTGGGCTTCAGTTTGCTCCTCTTCTTTCTGTCTTGTCATGTGAATGAATCCAGCAGATCAGTGATGCTCTCTAGCAATTAACACTCGCAAATTAACACTTGCTGTTCCTTTACTCTTTCCTCTGGTGTTTCTTTCATTGCCTTCACACATATGTTTTCATTCATACCAACATGACTATGTCTCTTGCAAGTCTTGACAACATAAAGAGGCAATTCAGAGCATTAAAAAAACAAAACAAAAGCCAAAAACCTAACCTCAGAAAAAAAAGAAGACAAGTGCAATGGAATATGTAGACCATGGCAGAGAAAAAGGAGGAGCCCACAGAAGGGAGACGAATTAAGGACAGCTAAAATCAGCAGGGAATGTAAAAGTGAAAGAGCACTTAAAGAAGACATTCAGAGAGAAACTCTTCTTTTAAATAATGTTTCTCAAGCAGCAAGTGCTGTACTGAAGTGGAGCTCTAGAATCATATAATTGTTCTGGTTGGAAGAGACCTTTAAGATCACAAAGTAAAACCATCCCCCAGCACTGCCAGGTCCCCGCTGACCCATATCCCTCAGCACCACATCTCCACAGCTTGGAAACCCCTCCAGGGATGGGGACTCCACCACTGCCCTGGGCAGCCTGGCACAGCCCTGGACAACCCTCCAGAGGAAGAAACTGTTCCTCAGGGCCAACCTCAGCCTCCCCTGGGGCAACTCGAGGCCAGTCCAAATACTTTTCACCTTGGCTACATAGATGGTATTTTTCAGTCAGCTTTGTGATTTGTTTTCATTTTTTCCTTTATTCCTCTGTAACTGTATGGTTTTGTACTTGATTTACTGCTTTATTTCATAGAATCACAGAGAATAGTTTGGGTTGGAAGAGACTTTAAAGATCATCTAGTTCCAAACCCCCTACCATGGGCAGGGACACCTCCCACTAGAGCAGGTTGCTCAAAGCCCCATCCAACCTGTCCTTGAACACCTCCAGGGATGGAGCACCCACGACCTCTCTGGGCAACCTGGGCCAGTGTCTCACTACTCTCATAGTGAAGAAATTCTTCCTAATTTCTAATCTAAATCTTCCTTTCAATCAAATAATCTTCCAGTTTGAAGCCATCATCCTTTGTTCTTTCGCTACAAAGCCTCTTCCCAGCTTTCTTGTGGACCCCCTCTAAATACTGGAAAGCCACATAGAAGGTCTCCCTGAAGCCACCTTATGATAAAACTGCATGTAGTTTATTGTGCTGGGACAGCTGTAGCTTGTAACCACCAAGTCTGTAATGGCTCCTTCTGGGTGATGATCTGACACAACTGTGGAACCAAACGTGCACTGTGTTTTCCTGAGGTTGTTCCAGCCTCTTGTCTTCCTAGGGGACACACCACCCCATCATCCCACCTTGCCTTGCACCACACAGGTCTCCTTGGAGCTCGCAGCTGACAACAAGGACTTCCCCTCCACCACTGCCAGGTCGGCCGTGGCTGCACCCCCTGTCCCAGCCCACGCCATTAGAAGTCCTCGGCTGGAATTCCAGGAGCCCAACAGGAGGAGTGGAAGAGGAGAAACCCTTCCTTGCTTGAGGCTCACCAACGGTGAGGACTTCCAGAAGACTGGAGCAGCCAGCACAAGCACCGTGCCCCCACCACAGGCTGTACCAACCTCTGTAGCCCGTAACCTCATGACACAAATAAGTGCACCTGAAGAAGACGGGTTGTTACTGCACGTGCTGCTGATGGTGCCTGATGGAAAGGATTTTGTTGCTGAAAACTCCAGTATCCACAGTTCTTGTAACGTGTATTTAACCTGCAAGCTGCTCAGCACCGAGGAGGCAACGAGATCTGCTGTTGTGTGGGGCACGACACAACCTGCCTTTCATTTTTGTCAGGCAAGTCTCCTGTCGTTCACTTAATGCTGATGGAAATATCCTGTCCTGCAGTGGTAAACAGACTGCAAAGAAAAGTTACTTCTGTCTGTGTAGGAACTTCTCTGCATGGCTCTGTCCAGGATATTAGAAGTATTTTCAGTATTGCATTGGCTCCATTGCACAGATTGAAATGCAGCTCCTTGAATTAGCCAAATAAAAAAAAGCAATTTTTGGAGTACAAAAGAGAGGTAGTCAGAAAAGTTTTGGTGAAAATGGAAAAAAATTTGGCTTTTCTTTTCCTCCATTTTGGCAAGCAAACACGTTGTTGATGGCATCTTCATGGCATACAGAGGTAGAATTTTCTTCTTTGCTCCATTGCCTGGCATTTTTTTTTCTTCTCAGTGAAGAAGATCATGACATACTTCTGAAGACAAAATTTCTGAAGGAAATATGAAGAAGAATTTTTGTAAGAAAGAATTTCTGAAGAAACATTTTTCTGAAGGAAATCTGTTTTTTTCTTCATTGAGAAGAAAAAGAATGCCACACAATGGACTGAAGAAGAAAATTCAACATCTATGGAGAACTGGGAGCTACTGTTCTAATACCAGCCAGAGCCTTCCCCTGCAAACAGCAGAATTTTGGGTCTTTAATAATGTTATGAGTTTCTCATTTGTTTATGGAGGATATTTTGCTTTGGCAACATCCGGATGCTCCAATGCATTTGTTTTATTTTTGACAATACCTATTGATCCGTGGGACTCCTCAGTCTGCAGCTGAAAGGGTAAAATGTAAAAACCATACCAGATGACACCTGAAACACTTCTCTGAAGTGCATTTATTTTCCTGGCTAGTTCTTTTCCAAGCCAACTAATTCTCTGCAACCTGTTAGGCAAATAGACATTTAATTTTGATTTCTATATCTAAAGAGCACAGTTCTGTAGAGGGGAATGATATAAGCTGAAAACAAAAGTTACCAGAATGCTCAATAGTTAGGAAATCACTTCCAGTGTGTATTGTGTGTACTAACTCTGTGTGAAACTCTGACAGGTGATGCCTTTTCCCTTGACTCCCAAACACTTGGAGCGCCTCAAGAACAACGTCATGATTATTGAAGCATGGAACAAGATGGGAAGCCCTGGCTGTGACAGGCTGCTGGGATTAGTGAAACTTCCTCTGCATCAGTTTTACATCTCATTCAAGTAAAGATCTTTTTTCTGTATTTTATTGGGTTGGGATATATCTGCTGCTCAGAGGAAGAAGGGAAGAATCACAGGATCCCAGCTGGTGAGGGTTGGAAGGGACCTCAGGAGATCATCTCCTCTAACCCCCCTGCTCCAGCAGGTCACCCACAGCAGGGTGCCCAGGGTCGCAGCCAGCCACGTTTGGAATCTCTCCAGAGCAGGAGACTCCACAGCCTCTCTGGGAAGCCTGCTCCAGGCTCGGCCACCCTCACACCAAAGAAGTTTCTCCTCCTGCTCAGGTGGAACCTCCTGGGTTCCAGTTGGTGCCCGTTGCCCCTTGTCCTGTCGCTGGGCACCAATGACAAGAGGCTGGCCCCAGCCTCTTGCCCCCCGGGGCCCTTTAGCTCTTGCTCAGCATTGATCAGATCCCCTCTGAGGCTTCTCTTCTGCAGCTCAGCAGCCCCAGGGCTCTCAGCCTGTCCTGGCACAGAGATGCTCCAGGCCCCTCAGCAGCTTCGCAGCCTCCACTGGACTCTCTCCAGTAGCTCCTGGTTTCTCTGGAACTGGGGAGCCCAGAGCTATACATAGGACTCCCAAAGTGGCCTCACTGGGGCAGAGTAGATAGGGAGGACAACCTCCCTTGACCTGTTGCCATACTCTTCTTCATGCACCCCAGGAGGCCATTGGCCTTCTTGGCCATATGGGCCCATTGCTGGCTCATGGGCAAATTGTTGTCTTCCAGCACTCCCAGGTCCTTCTCCTTGGAGCTGCTTCCCAGCAGGTCACCCCTCACCTGTCCTGGTCCATGGGGTTATTCCTCCCCAGGTGCAGGACCCTCCACTTGCCCTGATTGAACACCATGAGGTTCCTCTCCACTCTCCAGCCTATCCAGGTTGATGGTGTCAGAGGTTAACATAGGAGGGTTCCTAATATAGGAAAGGGCAGTTTTGTCCTGGCAAGCTTCCTCTGGCACTTTCCTGAGCAGCACAGAGGTAAGTGACACTGTCCTCATACAGAAACCCAAGTAGTCTCTGAGAAGTGAAGACCTTGGGCTGCATCAGGCTTGGAGCTAGGTTAGCTTGTGGTCCTATAAAAAGAGTAAAACAAAGAGATCAAAGTGACTCCACAGGAAAATGCAAGTGTGGCTTTTTCATTGATGAGTTTTCCATGGTTACAGCTTCTGGAGAGATTTTGTTGCTGCTGATGCTCTGCGTTGATCTGATTCCTAGGGTCAGGTTGCACAGTGCATGACAATGCTGGTGGTATCAAGAAGGTCTCTAAGTACTTCGTGTTTTAATTGTCATTTTATCCTGTGGGTCTCTCCAGAGCCCTTGGTTCTTTTCAGTTCAGTGTTGTTGCTTCTTGTTCAGTAAAATACCTGCTTAAAGTGATTTAAATTGATGGAAAAACTGGACAGAAGAGATTAGTGGTGAGGCTTTGGACCAGGCTGTCCAGGGAGGTGCTGGAGTCCCCAGCCCTAAAGGGGTTCAAAAACATGTAGACATGGCACTTGGGAACATGGTTTAGTGGTCATGGGAGTGTTGGGTTGATGGTTGGATCTGATGATCTTCGAGGTGTTTTCCAACCTTAACTACTCTATGATTCATGCAAAGAATTAATTCCTTTTATTGTGGTCAAACTAGTGAGAGGTAGAAATCAGATGATGCTTGAACTGACTGGCTGTTACTTTGTTAATTATTAGTTTATAATTTATTTCTTTTATTAGTTTTATTAGCTTATATTTTATTTATTTTTATAATTTCTTCAGTAATCCACTGTAGTTCACTTGTGTAGATCTTCAGTGTGTTATCAGAGGTTTTTACATCTCTCTGAGAGAGTCCCTGTTCCTTCTTTTCTTCTTGCCCAAGTCCATCCCTGAAGGCATGTAACTGCCTCATAAAAATATAATATGGCTGCAGCATATTAAAAGGAGTCTTGTTCCAGTTCATAACCTCGCTCACAGATCTCTGGGCTGGTGCACAGCTAGGGATGTGCTAGTCCTTGGAGAGCTGTGCTTTGTCATTGCTGCAAATAGCTCCTGGACCTGTGCTTTGTGAAGACTACAAAGCCCTTACTCCCAGAAGGACCTGGAGAGGCTGGAGTGTGGCCAGAGAAGGGCAACGAAACTGTTTGGGAAGGGTCTAGAGCCCAGGTGTGGTGAGGAGCAGCTGAGGGAGCTGGGAGTGCTGAGCCTGGAGCCAAGGAGGCTCAGGGGAGACCTTCTGGCTCTCCACAGCTCCCTGACAGGAGCCTGGAGCCAGGTGGAGATCAGGCTCTTCTCACAAGGAACAGGACAAGCAGAAGTGGCTTCAGGTTGGGCCAGGAGAGGTTGAGGATGGAGCTTGAGGAACAATTTGTTGCCCTTGAGGGTTGTGGAGGGCTGTGCCTGGCTGCCCAGGGCAGTGGTGGAGTCCCCATCCCTGGAGGGGTTTCCAAGATGTGGAGATGTTGTGCTGAGGGACATGGGTCAGTGGGGACCTGGCAGTGCTGGAGGAGCAGTTGGACTTGTTGATCTGAGAGGTCTCTTCAAGCCAAAGCAATTCTGTGGTTTGAAGACTGTATGACATGCATCAAGGGGATGTATCTGGGAGAAATGGAGATAGATTGGTTTCTAACTGCAATGAATGTCCCACCTGAACAGAGCTTTGTGTGGCCATGGTCACATTCAAATGGCATATTCTAATGGTGGGGTTTTGTTCTTGGTTTTGTTTTGTTCACTATTTGTTCTAATCCTTTCTAGAGATCGTAAGATTTCCCAGCTGCTCCTTCAGGCTCAGTACCCCGTGGTTGCTGTGGACAGCTACATGCCCGTGGTTGATGTGTTTTCTGGCAGTAGAAGGGGAAGCCTGAGGGTCATTCTGGCCATGGGCTCAGCTGATCAAATTGTGGCCCTGCAGAGGCTAAAAACGGAAGGGGGGCTGGTACCTCCCATCACACAGAGACCTTCCCACGCTCTGGACCCTCCTCCTCCGCAGCCCACAACGGTATTGCTCCATAAATCCCCATCTGTGTTATTCAGGCTGCATGGAAAGGATTTTCCCAGTGGGTTCATTAACAGACTGGTGCCCCAAACCTCTTTGGATGCTGCAGCCACTTTTGTTATCCATGGTCACATTCTTTGCAGAATTGTATCATTTCTACTTTTATTTTTCCCCACTTTTCCTCACCAGTCTTGACATTTATTGCCCTGCACGTCCACTCCTTCAACCTACATAATAAGTGCAGTTAAAAACCAAAACAAAACAAAAACAAAAAAAAGGGGAATTCTACAAAATCTCAACTCTCACAGCCTTATCTCTATCATACAGGTTTTGCCACTGCTCTTGAGCTGGGTATGTGAGATCTTTCATGCTTTTTACATGTTGCTTTTTTTGGATTTTGCACCAAAAAATTGCTGTCAGGCTCTCAAAGTGTCCATCAAACTCAGAGATAAAATAACAGATGGGTGGTTTGGAGCCCCCCGTCTCAGGCTTCATAGAAACATATTCCCAGTCCTCTTGTCTTCTGTCTCCTAAGGAGTTGTCCTTTCTGCATGGATCTCCTTTGTTTTATTAGCAGTTGACCCAAGAAGGGGAAGACCTGATGGAGCATGTGTTTGAGTTCCATGTGGAGAGTGTGAGAGGACTCATTCCCTTGCAGTCCACCGTGTGGGGAGAGGCTGACTGCTACATACAGTACTATTTCCCAGTGCAGGAGCCTGGTCATGGTGCACTGCAAGGATCTGAACTGCAGGAGCATGGTAGGTTTCTTTGATGTTACATCCTTAGTCACAGCATCACTGGTTAAATATTGTTAAGCAGTGTTCTCCCTGCTTAAATGAGAGGGTTTCTCTTTCTCTGAGCTTCCAAACCAGTGTGGGCAGCAGGGCAGGGAGGGGATCCTGCCCCTCTGCCCCGCTCTGGGGAGACCCCCCTGCAGTGCTGGGGCAGCTCTGGAGTCCTCAGCACAGCAGAGACAGGGACCTGCTGGAGCGGGGCCAGAGGAGCCCCAGCAATGAGCCGAGGGGGGAACCCCTCTGCTGGGAGCCCAGCAGGAGGGAGCTGGGCTTGGGCAGCCTGCAGAGGAGAAGGCTCCAGCTGGGGAGACCTTTTGGGGGCTGGCCAGTACCTGAAGGGCCCTACAGGGAAGCTGGGCAAGGACTGGTTACAAGGGTGTGTAGCGAGAGGACAAAGGACAGTGCTTTTAAACTCAAGCAGAAAAGATGTAGATTAGACATTAGGAGGAAGTTCTTAACTCTGAGGGTGATGAAATACTGGACCAGGCTGCCCAGAGAAGTACTTGATGTCCCATCCCTAGAGCCATTCAAGGTCAGGCTTGATGGGTCTCTGAGCAACCTGCCCTAGTTGCAGATGTCCCTGCTCCCTGCAGGAGGGTTGGACTAGATGACCTTGAAAGTACCTTCCCACCCAAACCAGTCTGTGATTCTAAGTTCAATGGAAGCTTTACTTACACAAGCCTTTCAAGATGCTCAGTTTCATGGATACGCCAAGAGAAGACTCATCTGGTTTAGATCATTGGGATTATAAGGGTGTATTTACAGAAGTTGAATTGTAGAAAAAGACTTAGTGTTGATTTTGGCTGCTTTGAGTCACCAAACTGTATTTCCTCTGAAAAATGAGAGTTGGTAACATGGTAACTGCTGTGGACTGTGCCACCTTCAAGCCACATCTAACAGTAATTTTCAGTCTGTGGCTCACAGGTTTGTGGGACTGCATGAATTGTTTGTAAAAGATTTGTGAAGTGGAGCTCAGAAGAGCAAACCTGGCAGGAGGATTCAACTCCTTGTCCCCAGGTCCTGCCTCCTGAAGGACTGCAAATAGAAAAAGGCTGAAACCCTCAGACACAACCATTTTTGAACTAGTTCTGCTTGACTTGCAGGCCTCAAATTAAAGCCCTTTCGCACGGCAACCACTCTGTGTGTCCCTGATCCCGTCTTTCATGGCGAGCACCATCACTCTTTGTTGGCTCCTGCCGATGTCCCAGTCCAGAGGCTCCTGGTGAGTGCGTTTATGGCACCAGCAGCGGCTGGAGGAGGAATCCAGTTTGAAGTCTGGTGCAGGTACTGAATAACATCCTAATCTTTGTAGATGTCACAGCAGGACGGGTAGAGATGTATCCAGTACTGAAAGATCTCTAGGTATAGGATGGTTGTTTAATAACCAGGGCAAAAACAGGGAGCTCCTCAGCATTTGGTGATGGATTTAAGTTTGCATTTAAGACACATGAGAGATTTTTCCAAAAAAAAAGTGGTGATTGTTCATTCCTTACAACTTCCTTAGGAAGTGTGTACTCTTACTTTGTTTTCTTTCACTTTGTTATCAGCATAGGGATCTAAAAGTAGTGTGTAAATGCTTGGCACATCTAAGTTGTACTTAATAACATCCTGGCAGGGCTATTTTTTCGTTGGTTTTTTTGTTGGTTTCTTTTTTTTTTACCCTAGTACCAGTCACCAATTACAAACAAAATACTAGAAAATGTTTCCAAGTTCAACTTGTAGTTTCTTTGGTGACTGAATTACTAATAATGAAAAGCAGAGACCATGGAGATGGAGAGCTTCAGTAACGCATAATAATTATAATGTGTTGCTTCAGCAGTAAACAAAGCTATTTAAAATTTTCAAAGTCACACAAGAATTATTACATGCTGGATGAGGTTACACTGATGTTGGTAATGACCAGAGCGGTTGAAGTGACCAATTATTAGTACCTGGCAGTTCCAAAATGTGCTTTAGCTTAGTTTCCTGCAGCCAATTGGACTTGGGTTTAATCTTGCCCTGACCACTCCCTGATAGTAGCTGGTAAATTTAGGCTGTTTTGAGTGAAAGGAGCAAATCACTGTGCCACAAAATTTTTAAGAGTGCTCTAACCATCCCCTCGCTAGTTTGCAATATTTGAAATGGAAAAAGCTTCCCAAGAGATCCTTGTAATTGGGAAGGAGATGAAATATTGACTGCTAGATGCCAAGGCAGAGAGTGATACTGTCAGCATCTTGAACTACTTGAACTGGTCCTAGAAGCATATGGGGAGAAAGTAGGAACCAGGAGGTGTAATATTGCAAGATGCTGGGACTATGGATCAGTCAATGCTCTACCCAAGACTCATCAGTCAGTTAATGTTCAGGATTTGTCCCAGAATGGAAAAGGAAACACAAGCCTATGGCACTACAGTGTTAGTCAAAGCCTGTCTCTGATGTGCCTGTTGTTCATTAGACACAAAACCAAAGCTTGCTTCAGGATCAGCCTGAAGCCAGGTAGCACAGTAAGAAATGGTCTAGAGTCATTTTTTACAAACTGGTACCAGGAATCTACAAGCAGCATTTTGATTTATTAATGGAAATCGGGAGTGGAGGTCATTCGGTGCTAGATCCTTCTCTTGTTTTCCTTTGGGGTCCAAATTTTTAGTGGAATTTCTGCTAGTTGACTTGCTAGAACTAGTGCAAAAGCACATTTGTACCACTATCCACTGGAGCACTTACTGTTTGGTTTTTTTTTTTCCCTGTGGAGATTCAGTTACTTGAGTTAACCCTTAGCTGTTGTGGTTGAAGACACACAAATTGAAGTCGACTTGCGTGCAGTTGTTAGAGAAATAATGATCATTTTGTCATCATCAAACCAGTATGATTGATGCTGCTCCTTTGTGTCTTACCAGGTATTATTACCCAAATGTCAGAGACCAGATGGTTGCCAAAGGGACCTTGCCTTTGTCACGGCTCTGTGCCATGGTGACTATGCAGCAGCGGGAAGAAATTGGGATACAGACTTTCAGTCTTCCATTGGTCCCCAGGACTGAGTCCTCAGAGGAATTTCATCTGCGATCCTCAGGTAAAGAGGGATGCTGTTGCCCTTCCTGGCCTGGCTTGGGTCAGCAGCACTAGTGTGGCCAGCAGGAGCAAGGCAGGGATAGTGCCTCTGCACTCTGCACTGGGGAGTTGGACCTTGAATCCTGGGGTCAGTTTTGGGCCCCTTCCTTCGAGAAGGGCCTTGAGGGGCTGGAGCGTGGCCAGAGAAGGGCAACAAAGCTGCTGGGGAAGGATCTAGAGCCCAAGTGTGGGGAGGAGCAGCTGAGGGAGCTGGGGGTGCTGAGCCTGGAGCAAAGGAGGCTGAGGGGAGACCTTCTGGCTCTCCACAGCTCCCTGACAGGAGGCTGGAGCCAGGTGGGGGTCAGGATCTTCTCCCAAGGAACAAGGGACAGGACAAGAGGAAACAGCCTCAAGTTGCATGGGGGGAGGTTTACGCTGGACATTAGGTACAATTTGTTGCCCTGGAGGGTTGTCCAGGGCTGTGCCAGGCTGCCCAGGGCAGTGGTGGAGTCCCCATCCCTGGAGGGGTTTCTAAGCTATGGAGATGTGGTGCTGATTGGTCAGTGGGGACCTGGCAGTGCTGGGTTGATGGCTGGACTTGGTCTTAAAGGTCTCTTCCAACCTAAACAATTCTATGATTCTGCAGCATCTTACTCAGTCTCAGCAGATTTCACATGGAATTATTTTTGTGCATAAATAGAACAAGCTTTGTATTAAGCTGTATAATGAAGTGTTGGTTCTACTGGATATAACTAGAATGCATTGACCATCTTTCTTTCCTCCATTTAATCCAGGCTTGCTTGATCTGAGTGTGAGATACCAACGATCCATGAGAACAGCAGCAGGAACAGCTGCTCAAGCTGTTTCTCTTTCTGTGCAGATCCACAGAGCAGCTGGTTTGCAAGCAGCAGCTAGGTAAAGCCTAATTCCAAAAGGGAGATTGCAGCTTTGTCTCTTAAAATAGCTTTATCTGGAGGCAGCAGGCTGAGGTGTTAAAACAAACTGTGACTGCCCAACTTTACATCTGCGGAGCCCAAGATTCAAACTGGATTCTGATTAGAAATGGAAATAACCTCTGATGTTCTTTGTGAAGTTGGTTTTGTCCCTCAAGCTGCAGTACAGTGGAGCAGCATTAGTTCTGCAGAAGGGCTGAGATGCTAAGGGAATGTTTTTCTACACCAAAGCCTTGTGTAAAAACTGGCTGATATGAAATGGTACCTCTGGGGCATTGGATCTTGGTGTTGCTGATGCTATTTAAAAGGTAGCTGAGATTTGTCCTCTTGAATTTCACTGGGGAAGCATTGCTAACTAACTAGAAGGTGAAACTTGTTCCTATTCACCAGAAGGCTGCTGCTCTAAGTGCATGATATCACCTGAACTTAGTTCCAATATATGATTTTCACAAATTAAGAAAGGGATAGAAGAGAGGGAATCAGCTCCCTAAGAGAAGGATGGCTCCTGTCATTCCAGAACAGTGCTCCCTGACCCTTTTCTTGGTGTTATTGAGCTCCTGTTCCATATTAATTCAAGTAGACTCTGTAAGATGAGGATCACTCCTGTATGGTGCTTGGAGCAGTTAAAGTGACCTCAGTGACCTGGGAGAAGTTAAAGACCTCAGGCTCCTCATCCTGAGTAATATGTGGGTCTGTTTTACTTGTAAATAATTCCATCTGCAAATTTCACCTCCTTTTGCTTGTCAGTAAAATTAGTTTGTGTTGGTCTTTAATTTCCCTCTAGAGGAGGTTTTCTGGGAAGTCATCCCACAGCTTTTTGTGGATGTTCTTTAAGTTGCTGAGCATTTTCTCACCCACTTTGGCCTCAGATCCTAACAATGATAAGAGCACAGCCACCAAGTGATGGACCTTGTGATTAGTTACTGTCACATATTTATTATTTCACATCTGTTCCTAGTATGTTCAGGTGAAAACAGAACTGCTGAACAATAATAGAGCCAGAACCCACAGCTGACTTCAAAATTCACTGGTTTGTCCCGTCTCTTCACCATGAAGACTTGAGACCTTTGCTTTAATTGTGTTGGTTTCTAGATTCCATGTACATTATGTTCATTCTGTCCTTTTCTTTTTCCATGCTCCATGAAGAGCTGTGGCACAGAAGAACCCTTCAGTCCAGTACTATGCAGGCGTGGGAGTTAATGCTTATGTCTCTGTGCACCTCTCCTTCCTGCCTGGGGCAGAGAGATGCAGCACACGAGTTGTGGCTTCTACCTTCTGCCCTGAGTTTGAGCATCACATGGAGTTTCCTTGTAACCTCATCATTCAGAAGAGCAGTGGAGAAGCTGCTTCTTTGGGGGAACTCTTGCAGTCTGCCAATATCATCTTCTCCATCTACCACCAGAGCACCAAGTCAGGTAAGGAGGACAAGTGATCACAAGTGATGGAATGCTGTTGCAGAACAATCCAGTCCACTTTGGTTTTAGTTTAGAAGACAGACTGTTCATGGAATGATTGAATTCTTCAGGTTGGAAAAGGTCTTTAAGGTCATCAAGTCCAACTGTTAACCCAGCATTGCCAAATCCATCATGAAACACAGACTGGTTTGGGTTGGAGGGACCTTTCAAGGCCTTTGAGTCCAAACCCCTGCAGGGAGCAGGGACATCTGCAACTAGAGCAGGTTGCTCAGAGCCCTGGCCAACCTCCCCTGGAATGCTCCCTGGGTCTATTCTGTGCAGTTGCTAATAGATATAATTACCTAAACTGCCTTCAGAGATGGTTTTGGGAGATACTGTTCTCCTTGTACAAAGAATTAAGGTTTCTAAGACTCCAAGAGGTCAAGTTTGACTCTTAAATGAATAGATAATGCAACTACCAGTAGCAGCACTTAACTTCTGGAGCACCCTGCCTTGGTATGGGCATGTCTTATCACCTCTGCTCCCTGAGAGGTAATGGAGCTCCATGAATCATAGAATGGGTTGGGTTGGAAGCGACCTTAAAGATCATCTCGTTCCAACCCCCCTGCCATGGGCAGGGACACCTCCCACTGGAGCAGGTTGCTCAAAGCCCCATCCAGCCTGGCCTTGGGCACTTCCAGGGACGGAGCATCCACAACGTCCCTGAGCAACGTGCTCCAGTGTCTCACCACCCTCACAGTGAAGAAAACTTCATAGGTCCTGAACCTCTCAGGAGAGGTGAGGTGATAACAACTTTCTTTCAAAGGAGATACTGCCTGAATCATTTTTAAATCTTGTGTTCCAGTCTGGCGTATTTACAAAATTACTGATTTTTCCAGCCCCTGAGACACTGACAGCTCGGACGTCCAGAGATTGTCTTCTTGGGACAGCCACAGTTCCAACCAGAGACCTGCTGAGAAGAAGATCAGGTAATACAACAGCGTTACACTGCTGACCTCTGTAAATGCTGTTGTAATTCCTTAAAACAATTTTCATTCCCATACTGGCGGGGTTTGTTGATTTTTTGGGTTTTTATTAGACCTAAGTTCTTTCAGACATCACATGTGCCTTCATTAATAATCCTGTATTAGAAAACTCACATCAAGGTGGTTGGTTGGAGATCTGTTTTCAGGGTGTAGGACATATGGTAGCTGAAGGAATAATCTGAGGCTACTATGAAGAAATGTAACTCCTTCCAAGCAAAAACCATCAAACCTCTGTAGTATTTTTTTCAGTACTGTTTATTTTCTACTTTAAGATAAGTCCAAGAGTTGTAGTGTTCAGTGGAGGACAAATTTGACCTTTGGAGATGTCAAGGCTGGAAACAAAGGCTTAGATAGGCTAGAAAGTAGTTGGATTAACGTTTATTAAAACTAAATGTAGAATATTTCCTCTCTCTAGTGTTACGTGATGATCATGTCTTGTAATAATGATGTTTTCATTATCATCTTGATTATTGGCTGTGACGCCAGCCCAGAAAGCCAACTGCATCCTGGGCTGCACCCGCAGCAGGGCAGGGAGGGGATCCTGCCCCTCTGCCCCGCTCTGGGGAGACCCCCCTGCAGTGCTGGGGCAGCTCTGGAGTCCTCAGCACAGCAGAGACAGGGACCTGCTGGAGCGGGGCCAGAGGAGCCCCAGCAATGAGCCGAGGGGGGAACCCCTCTGCTGGGAGCCCAGCAGGAGAGAGTTGGGCTTGGGCAGCCTGCAGAGGAGAAGGCTCCAGCTGGGGAGACCTTCTGGGGGCCTAACAGGACTTCCAGGGGCCTCTCAGAAAGCTGGGGAGGGACTTTTTACAAGGGCTTCTAGTGACAGGGTAAGGGGTGATGGCTTCAAAGTCGAGAAGGGAAGATTTAGATGGGACATTAGGAGGAAGTTCTTCAGTGTGAGAGTGGTGAGACACTGGAACAGGTTGCCCAGGGAAGCTGTGGATGTTCCATCCCTGGAAGTGTTCAAGGACAGGTTGGATGGGGCTTTGAGCAACCTGCTCTAGTGGGAGGTGTCCCTGCCCATGGCACTGGGGTTGGAATGAGATGATCTTGAAGGTCCCCTCCAAGCCAAATCTGTCTATGATTCTATGATTTCTACTTGAATCTCAGTGCAGTGCTGGTTTTCTCAAACATGAATTTTTGTGCTTATTTTTAATAGGGAGTGAGAAGGAAAAAAACTGAGAATGCCTAATTTTATAATTGGAAATTCGTGGGATATAGTCATAGAATCTTAGAATTGTTTAAATTGGAAAAGACCTTGAAGATCACCCCCTTCAACCATCCTTCCAGCACTGCCAGGTCCCCACTGACCCATGTCCCTCAGCACCACATCTCCACAGCCTGGAAACCCCTCCAGGGATGGGGACTCCACCACTGCCCTGGGCAGCCTGCCACAGCCCTGGACAACCCTCAAGAGCAAGAAATTGTTCCTCAGGGACAACCCAAACCTCCCCTGGTGCAACTTGAGGCTCTTTCCTCTTGTCCTGTTGCTTGTTCCTTAGGAGAAGAGCCCGACCCCCACCTGGCTCCAGCCTCCTGTCAGGGAGCTGTGGAGAGCCAGAAGGTCTCCCCTGAGCCTCCTTTGCTCCAGGCTTAACATTCCCAAGTCCTTCAGCTGCTCCTTACAAAATGTGCTCTAGACTCTGTATTTTTGGGTTAAAATGAGTGTCATTAATTAAATGCAAATTAATCCCTTTGGGATCAGAGCTACCAGTGAGGTTTGCTGAGGTCTAACAGATTGGAATTCATCAAAGCATTTCTGATCTGGAAAAGCAGCAAACTTTCACAAGAAATAAACATTTCAAGTCCTGGTCCATGACCAACAACCAGAGAGTGGAAAATTCTGTACTGATGTTTTTAAAAGGTAGGATTAGCCTAACTACAATCTTTTCTCCTGCAGGTATCTCAGGCTGGTACCCAGTTACCCTCCCTGAAGATCTGATGCCTTCAGACTGCACGAGCATCATGCAGGCCATCGTGGGAGGGCTGGAACTTTCTGTGGCCTTTGCTCATCAGGACGACAGAGAACGTGTGCTGGAAGCAGCGAAGCTCTTGGGGTGGAACACTGAGGAGAGCCACCGAGACAGCACGGACGATAGCGACGAATGGGAGCAGAGCTCCAGCCCCCTGACAGTGACCATCTCCATCCCAAGAGTGTGGCTCCCAGTCCACTGTGTCCTGCTCACGGGGCAGATGCACCTGGAGCAAAGCACCTACTGCTACCTCAGGTATAAGCTGTATGACCAGGAAGCCACGTGGACTTCGCTTCGGAGGCCAAAACTGAGCGACACAAAGACCGTTACGGTGAACTTTAAGAAACCAGTCAAGGTGACCCTCAGAAGGAGCCAAGGACTGCTTTGGTTCCTCAGAGAGAAGAAATTAGAAATCCAGGTGTGGTGGGCATATGGTAAGGAGAATGATGTGGAAAGACCACTTGATACAGATCGGCTCATCGGATCTGCCTACGTCGACCTCGCAGAGTTAGCAGAGAGGTCGAGGACAACACTAAGTGTTAGTGGTAAGTTCCTAAAGAACTTGGTCGTGTTTCAATCCTCTTGATTGATGTTTTAGTTCCCTCACTTCTCTACTCACTTGAAGAAAAATATTTACAGCTTTGTTTTGCCCTGTTTGCAACAGGCACTCAACTCCTCCTTTCGCTGAAGGTGAATGAGGTTGAAATGCTGAATTCTCTGAATTCCAAACGTAGTAGGTTTTATTTGGCAGTAAGGATCAGTAATAGGGAGAGCAATTAGTCTTTCAGGATTGATGAAGGATGTTTCTTCAGGATTATGGATTGGGCATCATGATAGAGTGAGAAGCAGGAAGAATACTGTCTCTGAAGGAGGCCGAATGCCTGGAGTGAGGGCAAATGATGGGGACAATCTTTTGAGCAGGGCCTGTTATGAAAGGACAAGGGGAGGTAGTTTTAAATTAAAAGAGGCAGATTTAGACTAAGGAGAAGGAAGAAATTCTTGATGCTGATGGTGGTGAGCCCCTGGCCCAGGTTTCCCCGAGAGGTGGTCGCTGCCCCATCCCTGGAACCATTCCAGGGGAGGTTGGCCGGGGCTCTGAGCAACCTGCTCTAGTTGCAGATGTCCCTGCTCCCTGCAGGGGGGTTGGACTGGATGACCTTGAAAGGTCCCTTCAACCCAAACCATTCCCTGATTCTATGACTAAGCTTTGACAAGGTCATGGAAACTTTTCTATTTGGTTACTGGGGCTTCTGTCATCTACATGGGATCCATCAGCCACCAGCTTGCAAGTAGGGTTGTGAACAGGTTATTGGCTCTTCTGTGTATGCTCGGGGGAGGGAGAAGGAACAAGAAAGAAAATAAATTTTGATGCTGTGTCTGTTGTATTCTCCATATGTGTATGTAATATTGAGCAGAGGCACAATCCCCAGGGCTCTCAGGAAGCTGATGTGATTTAAAATACTTATCTGAGCTGCCAGGGGGAAAATGGAAGTGTACCATATTTTGGGGATTGGTCACTGGTTTCAACCTTGACAAGCTGATAGTTCTACCAGCATACTGGGTGATACCTTGCTTAGAAATTACAATGAAAATCTGAGTTCATTCTGCTGGGCTGATGTGAGATCTGTGCTGTAATGAACCATACCAGCTATTTCCCCACTTTTCCTTCGGCTTGTTCAGCTGCTTTTTGGGGAATTCTTTTGCAGGAGTTTATCCATTGTTCAGATGCAATGCTGCAAACCTAGCAGGAGGTGCTCTGCGTGTTCACATCGTCCTTTCCTCCACGTCCACTCCTCTGCCCAGCAGACTTTATGGTGCTGAGGAATACAGCAACAGCGAAGAGGAAGGCACAGAGAGAGCCCCTGATCTGAGCCAACAGGTCTCTGAAAATCAGGCTCAGAACCTGGAGATCCTAAATTCAGAAACCCCCAATGGCAAACCACCAGAAGAAGATGTGATGTTTCTGGAAAACACAGTTGCTGTCCATATCCTTGTGGAAAGAGCAATGCATCTAAGTTTAAAAGGTAACAACACCAGCACCACCCTTTTTTTCTTTCTTTTTTATTTTCTTCTGTTTTGTTTTGTGTTTTTTTGGGATCTATCCATAACAAATACTGCCAGGAGCAATTTAAAAACAAATCCTTAAACTTACACTGGTACACCAAATGGATGTGGCAATATGTGTTCAATAGAAGAGGAAACAGCCTCAAGTTGCCCCAGGGGAGGTTGAGGTTGGCCCTGAGGAACAATTTCTTGCCCTTGAGAGTTGTCCCGGCCCATCCCAGGCTGCCCAGGGCAGTGGTGGAGTCACCATCCCTGGAGCGGTTTCCAAGCCAGTCCCCAGGGCAGAGATTTCTCTTCATTTTCTTCTCTCTGGGGTAGCCATCAGCATGTTGTGCTGCCAGGCCAGACCCTGCCATGCCAGAGGTGTCCTCAGCTTAAAGCTTTTATGTTTATGGGAGGCCAGCAGGAGAGAGTTGGGCTTGTTTCTGTTTCACACCTGAAATTTTGTGTTCAGTTTTGGTTCCTGCTGTACAAAAAATCTATGAACAGGCTGGAGGGGGTCCAGAGAAGGGCCACCAAGATGATCCAAGGACTGGGAAGATGCCATGTGAGGAAAGGCTGAGGAGACTGGGGTTGTTCAGTGTGGAGAAAAGAAGGCTCAGGGGAGACCTTCTCACTGTGTATTGAAAGGGTGGCTACAATGAAGCTGGAGACTCCCTTTTGACAAGGAATTCTCTAGAGAAGACAAGGGGTGATGGGGACGAGTTACTTCTGTGAAGGTTCTGATTGGACACAAGAGTAATTTTTTTTTACAATGAGAGCAGTCAGCTGTTGGAATCATCTCCCTCCACAGGGAAGTGGTGGAGTCCTAAGCACTGGATGCTTTGAAGATTCAGCTGGACAGGTTGTGCTGGGACAGCTTGTCTAGACCAGGCTTTTGCCAGGAAATGTTGGGCCAGATGATCCCTGAGGCACCTGCCAGGCTGGGATTTGAGGATTCCTCCCCACAATCCAGCTGTTAAACCAAAACTGCCTTTTGTAATGCTGTGTATTTCCTGTGTCTGCAGGTGGGATTGCCAAACTGGTCCAGCATGGAGGGCAGATCAAGCACTAGAACAGCCTCCTGGGGTCCTGGGTGTTACTCCCAGCTTTGTCTCTGACTTCTCAGCTGATCTTGGGCAAATGCTTTTTCTGTTTCTTCCTTGAATACTCCAGTTTCTGCTCTGTAAAAGATTCATATACAATTTGTTTCCATTGTGAATATAAAGTATTTTCAGCTCCACCAATGAAAAGGAATTATTTTCTAGATGGTGGATTTCTTCTCTTTTTAATTGCTGAACTGCCTTTAGATATTTTAAATTATTAGTATTATATAATGTATTTAATTCTGTATCATTTTAGGGAGTCCTCTGACAGACCGTGAGGTAACAGCCCCCAGTAGCTGTGTATCTTTTGCTGTTGCTGGTGCAGATGCTCCAGTCACCACCTGGGTCGTAGAAAATACAGACTCGCCAGTCTGGGACTTCCAGCAACAAGCAAGGTGGGTGATGTGGACTCTGACAGCCAGGCCCTCCAATGAACCTCAGCAGATCAAGTCATACCCTGTGATATTCGGTAATAAACCTGTGTGGCGTTTCTACAAGACATCACCATCCCTGGAGGTGTTCAGAAAACATGTGGATGTGGTGCTTGAGGACATGGTTTAGTGGGTTGATGGTTGGACTTGATGATCTTGGAGGTCTTTTCCAACTTTGGTGATTCTATACCAGTTTTTAAATTCATTCCAAGGCTGCTGAGCTGGGATTTTAGCTTGAGGGAAATTGTAATATGGAGATGAAAACATTAAAACTCTTATAGCTGAAGTTTAAAAGTTTTGTTGCAGTGTTTCCTTATGCTCAGAGTCACGTCCAAATTGCTTCAAGCAAATTAAAAGCTGTTCCACATTTTACACCTCAATTTTCAGTTTGTTTTTTTTTTCCAGAAACCAACTTCAAACATTACAGATTTCAGCCATAAACCTGTTGCTTTGCCATCACTCTTTTACCAACTCATGAGATAAACTCTCTTCCTGTTTTCTCATGGGTGTATTGTCATTACATTTACAAGGAGAGGGAAGTACTTTCTGAATAAGGAAAAGCCCAAACCACGTAAAGATAGTTACCCTTTTGAGGGCTCAATGATTTGAGGGTTTGTTGCATTCTGCCCACTCCATCATTCCAGGAAGAAGCTGATTTGTCTGGATAGATACGGTGGTGTTGAAACCTCAGAGGCATTTTGCTCCACTTGCTCATTTTGTCCTACTCTGCATAACAAATGATAATTTTATTCTTAACAGATTATCCAAAGAGCTTCTGGTGGACCCACAGCAAACCTTGGTCTTCAAAGTGTGGCATAAAGCAGGTAAAGTCTGTAGTGTGGTATTGAGAGGAGTGTCTTTTCTACATCCCTTTGGATCACTTGTATTTAATACAAGTAAAGTAAATTTTATGAAGAAAATCGAAGACGTAAAGACATTTTTTTTTTTTTTTTCCCCCTTGCACTAGAAGAACACCAGAGATAAATACCCATGGATTTCCTGCCCACTTTGCATCCTCCTTTTCCCCATTAATCATTTGGCAGGTTTGGTTTGTGTTCTTCCTGGGTTTGATTTGACAGTATTTTAGAGGTGGGATGTTCCTAGTGAAGGAAATTCTTCACTGTGCCTCTGCTGCTTGTCATCTCTGCCATTAGTTGAAATGTGCTCAGCCAGTTCCAATCAAATACTTTCATGGTAGCACGGATGTATTTTAACAGTTGGTCCTGTGTCCAGTCTCAGCACTCACTGGGGGAGTTGAGGGCTTGGGTTTTAAACATAAAACCATAAAAGCTCTTTCTAAGCATTTTTATTGAACCTGTTCTTTGTTGTTGAATGGTAAAAGTCGCTGCTAATAGTTCAAACTGGTGTTTTACTTCTTTTGTTGCCAGCAGAGATCCTCCAATGTTTAATTGTTACCAAGCAAGCACAAAAGCATGTGTGTGTTTGGTGGGAAGAGAACCCTGCTTCTGCAGTTCAAACTGCCAGGATATGGTCTGGCTGAAGGACAGACCTCAGAGGGTTGTGATCAGTGGCACAGTGTCTACCTTGAGGCCTGTAGCTCGTAGTGTTCCTCATAGGACAGAACTGGGTCCAGTCTTTTTCAGAGTCTTCATCAGTGACCTGGGTGAAGGGACAGAGTGGAACCTCAGCCAGTTTATTGATGGTACCAAACTGGGAGGAGTGGCTGACACAGCAGAGCTGGGCTGCGATTCATTGAGAACTGGACAGGCTGGAATGTTGGGTGGAGAAGAAGCTCATGAAGGGAATTTCAGCCAGGGCAAGTGTAGGGTCCTGCACCTGGGGAGGAATAACCCCCTGCACCAGGACTGGTGTAGGTTGAACTGCTGGAAGGCAGCGCCATGGTGGATGGCACTTAACCATGAGCTAGCAATGGGCTCTTGTAGCCAAGAAGGTTGATGGTCTCTTGGGGTGCATAAAGAAGAGTGTGGTCAGCAAGTTGAGGGAGGTTCTCTTCTCAATGTACTCTGCCCCAGTGAAGCCACCTCAGGAGTCCTGGGGCCAGTTTTGGGCTCCCCAGTTCCAGAGAGACTAGGAGCTACTGGAGAGAGACCAGGGGAGGCTGCGAAGCTGCTGAGGGGCCTGGAGCATCTCTGTGCCAGGACAGGCTGAGAGCCCTGGGGCTGCTGAGCTGGAGAAGAGAAGC